GTGGCGCAGTGCGGACGCTCGTCTTGCACGTCACCCGACCGCAGAGCAACTCGTTTTTACTCGGACGGCTTGAAATGAGTGCTTCGCACGGCGGAACAACGAAGAAAATGGATGGGGCGGGAACGGTCGGGCTCAGATGTTCTTTCTCGATATTCTTTTTCATTCGCTGCTCACTCATGACGGTTGTCGGTGTGTCGCGATGCGAAGTAAATGGTCATCACAATCCTCGGCCAGGCGTCTAAGGAGAGGGAGGGCAGCGTGTAGAAAGAGGGGGAGGTGAAGGAGGTGTGTGTGTGTGTGTGTGTGTGGGAGTCAGAAGCCGACGAGATGCGTCTGTGCACACGGACACGGCGGTATTGCAGCGTTGCCGCTCCAATGCGCCGAGGCCAGCGCTGGCTCGCTCGCTCGCGCAGCTTCCATTTGTAAGCCCTCTTCTGCGTTCGCCGCTCATGGCTGTACGTGCGCTTCGTATTGCCCAGGACGTTGTGTGACCACCGGGTGGGGAGTCTCGCGCCATACGGCACGGCCCGCGCAACTGCTGCAACGGGATCCACCCGGAAGGGGATCGACCGCGACAGCCGGTGGCCCCGCACCGCAGAGCGGCGCAGGCTTTTACTGCGGCGCAGGTCTCCCTGCGCGAGGCACTTGCTGCCTTTGGGGTGCACGGGCGAGGGACTTTGGCTCGGGACCCGCATGCGCGCGGCGCCCCGTGGAGCGGCGGAAGCATCTTGTGGTGCGCGGCTGCGTGTGTTGCCCGCAATGGGTTTGCTTGCGCAACGGCTGCGGCTGCGGCGGCAACGGCACTCTGGCGACGCGCTGCGGCGCCGTGTCGCATGTGGCACGGAGCCTCACGTATCTCATCATCCTCGACCACGGAAACAGGCGCATTGAAGCGTAGGTGCATCTCTCTCTCTCTCTGTGTGTGCGTGTCGGTGTGTGCACAGCGGCGGCAGACATCCTCGCTGTCCTCTTCTCTCCCACCTCACTTCTCTCTCCCCCGGTGTAGACGAGCGGCTCGCGGTGACGCACTGAGGGTCCGCTCGCTATTAAAGGGGATGGCGGGCACGGTCTCGTGGAGGCGGTTGGGCTGGGCGGCATCAGCGTCACTATCTAACGATTTCTCCGTTGGCTCTTCAGTGGCACACTCAGATTTCCCGAGTTACATACATAAGAAGCTCCTCATCACGTGCTGCCGGCACACCGCGTTCTCTTGGACCATTTTGTTGAACCGCACGAGGAATGGATGGCAACCCTCTGCGGCCTGCCACGTTACTGCCTGCGTGGGCACGCGGAAAGATGGGAGGTGTGACATGACAGGTACGGGCTCCTCCTGTCTGTCGCATTGATCAGTGCCGTATAACAGCGATGCATCAGGGTTCAGACTCGTCTTCCAATAGTAAAATGGCAACCTCATCATGATCGTGAACAGTGGCGCAGTGCGGACGCTCGTCTTGCACGTCACCCGACCGCAGAGCAACTCGTTTTTACTCGGACGGCTTGAAATGAGTGCTTCGCACGGCGGAACAACGAAGAAAATGGATGGGGCGGGAACGGTCGGGCTCAGATGTTCTTTCTCGATATTCTTTTTCATTCGCTGCTCACTCATGACGGTTGTCGGTGTGTCGCGATGCGAAGTAAATGGTCATCACAATCCTCGGCCAGGCGTCTAAGGAGAGGGAGGGCAGCGTGTAGAAAGAGGGGGAGGTGAAGGAGGTGTGTGTGTGTGTGTGTGTGTGGGAGTCAGAAGCCGACGAGATGCGTCTGTGCACACGGACACGGCGGTATTGCAGCGTTGCCGCTCCAATGCGCCGAGGCCAGCGCTGGCTCGCTCGCTCGCGCAGCTTCCATTTGTAAGCCCTCTTCTGCGTTCGCCGCTCATGGCTGTACGTGCGCTTCGTATTGCCCAGGACGTTGTGTGACCACCGGGTGGGGAGTCTCGCGCCATACGGCACGGCCCGCGCAACTGCTGCAACGGGATCCACCCGGAAGGGGATCGACCGCGACAGCCGGTGGCCCCGCACCGCAGAGCGGCGCAGGCTTTTACTGCGGCGCAGGTCTCCCTGCGCGAGGCACTTGCTGCCTTTGGGGTGCACGGGCGAGGGACTTTGGCTCGGGACCCGCATGCGCGCGGCGCCCCGTGGAGCGGCGGAAGCATCTTGTGGTGCGCGGCTGCGTGTGTTGCCCGCAATGGGTTTGCTTGCGCAACGGCTGCGGCTGCGGCGGCAACGGCACTCTGGCGACGCGCTGCGGCGCCGTGTCGCATGTGGCACGGAGCCTCACGTATCTCATCATCCTCGACCACGGAAACAGGCGCATTGAAGCGTAGGTGCATCTCTCTCTCTCTGTGTGTGCGTGTCGGTGTGTGCACAGCGGCGGCAGACATCCTCGCTGTCCTCTTCTCTCCCACCTCACTTCTCTCTCCCCCGGTGTAGACGAGCGGCTCGCGGTGACGCACTGAGGGTCCGCTCGCTATTAAAGGGGATGGCGGGCACGGTCTCGTGGAGGCGGTTGGGCTGGGCGGCATCAGCGTCACTATCTAACGATTTCTCCGTTGGCTCTTCAGTGGCACACTCAGATTTCCCGAGTTACATACATAAGAAGCTCCTCATCACGTGCTGCCGGCACACCGCGTTCTCTTGGACCATTTTGTTGAACCGCACGAGGAATGGATGGCAACCCTCTGCGGCCTGCCACGTTACTGCCTGCGTGGGCACGCGGAAAGATGGGAGGTGTGACATGACAGGTACGGGCTCCTCCTGTCTGTCGCATTGATCAGTGCCGTATAACAGCGATGCATCAGGGTTCAGACTCGTCTTCCAATAGTAAAATGGCAACTTCATCATGATCGTGAACAGGGGCGTGCTGTAAGAAAAAGCAAATGTAAGAAAACAAAAAAAAAAGAAATCAATTGCAGTGTTGCTGATTAAGAAGATGGTGAGGCAGAAGGTCAGCAGGACAGATATTGACGGTTTTTATGAGGCCAAATATTTTGGCGGTAATAATCGGCCATGGTCATTTTTCGATCTCTTTTTGCTGTTGCTAACTACGCCAACCCATTGCATCACTTGAAGCCGCCTCTCCGTGTGCAAAGCGGCAAACTAAGGTTGTGGGTGGATCTCACAACATTTCTACCAGTATTTTTATCAGCATCGCGTCATGATGGAGACGAGAGACTTTTTTTTGTCGAAGCCCATGACGCTCACCCGGGTAAGTGAGGATACTGAACGGCTTTCCCGCAGCAACCATTGCGTTTATGAGAGCGCAGGAGTGGGTGAAGTGAACATTCTCATCCAGAAGACCATGGGCGATGAATAGACGATTCAGATCATCCGGAAGGCCGGTAACAAATTGGCTAATTGTACTTTTTGTGTACGCAGCGCTTTTGACGTTCCTCTTTTGGGCTTCCACGGCGCCAACATCACTGGCATAAAGCTCACCCATGTATCGCTCCGTGTATCCCGTGTCGTAAAGCGTCCAATCAGTCACTGGAGCGCCGGCAAAGCCAATCTTAAATGTATCGGACGCCTGTGACATCGCCAGAAGCGTTGCATACCCTCCGTAGGACCACCCAAAGATGGCAATTCTTGTGGGATCGGCAATAAAACCGCTCGGCTGGAGGGGAGAAGCTGTGACATGTTTTGCAAGGTCTACGTAGTCTGACGTTTCAAAGTTCCCCATGTTATGCTTGCAGATACTGAGATCCACCAGGCCGTTGGCATTACTCATTTGCCCGTCTGCAACCAGGACGGAGATGCCGTTCTTTGCCATAACCTGAAAAAGTGGCTTGCAAATAAGTTCGTAGTCATTTTCGTAAACCAGCTGGACATGTGGTCCGCCGTAAACATACATGGCTAGCGGAGCTGGCGTGCCCGGGACAGCGGTGGGCGACCTGAACAATCGACCACTGAGAGGAACACCGCGTCGGCTTATGGTGGTGACAAGTTCGGTCTTGATAAGGTCATCACTGTGCAGAAACGAAATTGGGGTGCCTTTTCCTTCATCAACAGCACCCTTTTTGTCGCTATCCTGGAACTTTGTTTGAACGAGACGCCGTGATTCGGGTGAAAGAAGCGAGGCAATGTACAACTGTGGGGGTGTCTCTGCTGTGCTCGCAACATAGCAGATGTAGCCGTTCCGAACAGTGAAACTGTACACGTGTTCGTGAGAAGGTGACAGTCGTGTGAGTTGCGCGGCTGTTGCGGGTTCCACGGAAGAGAAGCCCAGCGGAACACTGTAAATGACATTACCAAGCCTGCCGTCCGCATTTGCCATGAATACCACACGGTCCTGCAGCAGCCGTAAGCTGCCGGGCTTTGCGTTCCAGTTTCCTTTTGTCAGTGGACGCCATTCTTCCTTGCTGTCCGCCGCCAAATCCCGCACGTAAATGTGCCAATTTGCCTCCTTTGTTTCGGTGGCATGGCGGAGAAGAACGTCGTGGGTGCTTCCAAAAAGAATGGGAGGACCCCGTGGTACGTCCACCCATGCCCACGGGATGTGCTCCTCACACTCCGTGGTTAACGAGACCATTATTTGTGTCGTTGTGTCCCTGTTCGCAGGATCTGTGAAAAAGTACGACGACAGCGCCGTGACGTCCACCTCCGGCAGAGAGTCGATAAGGCATGACAGGACACAGTACCGCTCCTGCGTGCGACTGAGCAGCGAGAAATAAATCGTCTCATCATCCTTGAATCCAAAGCGGGGCATGTATTCTGCCCACGGTGCCACTGCTGCGATTGATTTCTCTGGCACCACACGGAAGCATTTGGTTTCACGCAAGTACACGACGAGCAACGTCCGAGCATTGGGATCCCCAACCCAGGCATATGGCATCGTCTCCACACTTGATTTGTCACTGCCGTCGATGAGGGATACGTTTTTCAGTATGGATGTATCGGTGTAACTGAACAATACATAATTCTCCGTGGCGTAGTGTCCTGTGTAGCGACCAAACTCCTCTTGCATAATGTAATCGGCTGTTCCACATTCGTGCATTGCATCTCCAAAGTTTGTCACACACTCCACCTCGACATGAATGGGAGCCGCACGTGTATCATCCTGCTCCACGACAGTTGCAATATACAAGTTACTTCCATACACAAAGCTGATGACGTTGGGTGACCGTCCGGCATTCCCCCCTGTGCTTCCGGGCTTTTCAGGGTACTGGAGGTGCTGGAGACAGAGAAACGGCCTCTTCCTATCGCCAAAGTGGCGCCGAGACTCCTCTTCGTCGATGTAATCAAAAATATTCAAAGGAGGCCTGGCATTTGACGGACGGTACATGAACATGCTCGTGCCAGAGGTATAAAACACGGTGCCGTCGGAGGGGACGATTTGATAACCACTGATGCCGCTCACATGGCTGCGAAGCCGTTCGCGTAGTAATTCCTCCTCCTTGGACTTTGGCTGAGACTTCGTGGGTGTACTCTCGCACCCCGCATCTTCCGGTGGTGCAATGACACGCCTTGGAATTGCGTTTTCATCCACGAGACTCACGGCGTACAACTCCTGTTCGATGCCCTGCAGCCAGTAGAGCTCCTCGCCAACGATGCGCAGATTCTGCGGCTTCCCGGAAACCTGCAGGAGGCCATCCAAGGCCTTCAATTGCTCGATATAAGTTGTAAGAGGCACTGAAGACATCCCAACCCTCTTCAATTTTTTTTTTTTTTGCGTTATGTGCAGTCGATATCACACTTGTAATTTATATGCAACTCGGTCAAGAGGAAAACGCACACCAAAACCAACAATAAAAAAAAAATGAGATAAAGGACAAAGCCAAATTCCCTTTCCGCTTTTCGTGTGTTCCTAATGAGGTGAGGAGAAAAAGCCAACACATAAAAGGGAGAGGCAGCCGTTTTTCCACGTGTGTCTGCAGGGTGACACGCGGGGTTCGTAAGTGCTGTGTGTGTGGGGATCACACGTGGGAATCGGCGGGGCAACCTCCTCCTCCTCCCCATACCAGCAGCCAACAAACATGAGGGTCATCCCGTACTTTTTTCCGTTTCGTCTCGAAGCATTGTTTTCCTTGTTAGCATTACTTGGAACAAGCAGATAAAAGAGAGGCAGGAAGAATGGGGTGGATTTTCATTTGGTATGATTGGGTTGACTGAAGAAATAAGAAAAAACAACATACACACACACAAACACATACAAAACAAATAAATAAATAAATAAATAAATAAATAACGAGTAGACGTCTGGATGCGTCTGCGGAAGGCAGAGAAATGACACATGACGGCACGCACAAAAACCGCATGAAAAAACATCGGATTATGTCTCTTTGCTAATATAGGAATTAGCCGTAAAAATAGAAAAATGTTCATATGCAAATATTATACGTCAACTGCAAAACGTCCAATATAAACAAATAAACATTCTTCTTTTACCTTTTTTTTTTTTTTTCTTCATCCTCCTCCATTCCCTCTTTGTTTTACTTTTCCTTCGTTGTGTAATTTCATAGGATAATTCCGTGCGCTCATTTTCGCTCGGTTCGCTTGCTTTCATCATAATTTTATTAGTAAATAACACAAATAATGACGTATATATATATCTCAATCACAATGGAAGAAATATACAGAGAGCATGTATGCCAAATGCATGTGTACTGTG